ATGCCCAACTTTACAGCAGAAAAAAACGTTTACAGCCTGGTTCAAAAAATTATTTTGGTCTATATAGCTAATTTTGCCCTTCATGACAACTGTGAGGGGGCGTGAATTTTTTTATAAGTCATCCGTTTAAATTATATTAAGCCTTACAGTTCTGCATAATTAAGGGCGTGGCCACTTGAGTGACAGGTGGATTGCCGCTGCTGTCACCACCGTCGAGCTAGGTGGGCGTGGCTTCAGCAACCTGCTCCCGCCTCTTTGCCCATTTTCGATTATCCGGGAGTGACGCGCGGTGACGCGCTGCCAAGATGGCGACGGCCGCCTCCGCCCACTTTTGAGATTCAAAAACCTCTTCAGGAAATCTACGGGTGACGTCACGGACACTACGTCCATGTTTTTATACAGTCTATGGTTTAGACTGAGGGACAATAACTTTAAAGTCTGTTTTTTTTTTTTTTTTTTTTTTAAATATCTTGCATTTTTTCCAGAAAAATATTTTTCACAAGAAAGGAACACAAATAAATGCTTACATTATTGCCAAGAAATATAGACACTGTGCATATTTTATTAATAATTTAATAATTAATTATTAATAAAAGTACAACTCAGTGAAGTGCCGCAGGGACACGACAAAATGCTTGGTGTACGATAGAAATTAGGCATTATTTTATGATAAAAATGATTTAAATGCAATAATTGTTTTTATTCATTATAATGGGCATACCAAAGTATTGTAAAAAAGCTTTTAACACTTCCTTTTGGTGAACCACCACTTTAAAAAGTCTGAGGGACTGAAATGTTACCGAATCCCAGGAATGACCCACTTATAATCATTCTGTTGCGTAGGTTATGCGCTTATGCGGTGCGCTTAAAGACGCGCAGATATTAGGCGGTCCGTAAATATGCCTGAACGGAAAAGCTGCACAGGACCTCGATTCCGCGCAAAGTTTTATTTGTAGAAAATAAAATGCAAAAAGCAGTGGAGAATTGGGCGAATAGTTGGGGTTTTCGTAATATGCTTTTCGAAAAATAAAAAGAATCCAAGCTTGAATGTCAAAATATATGGTTATCAGCTGGAACAAGTAAATGTACTAAGATTTTTGGGTATGTGGATGGACTCTAAATTACATTTTAAAATTCATATTCAGAAATTGCTAGAAAAATGCAAAAAAGGAATAAATGTCTTAATGTACTTGTCCAGAGCTGAGTGGGGGGCAAGCTGTCAGTCATTGAAAAGAATTTATGGTGCTGTGATTAGGTCAAACATAGATTATGGTAGTGTAGTTTATAGTTCTGCGAACAAAACCTTACTTAAAAAGATAGAGGTAATACAAAATCAAGCTTTGCGCATTTTCTGTGGTGCATTTAGATCTTCTCCGGTGGCTTCATTACAAGTTGAAATGGGAGAATTGCCTCTAGAACAGCGTAGGTTCCAGTTGAGATTAAGGTACTGGTGTAAAGGGATATCTGGAAAACCATCCAGTTAGACTAATTCTGAAAGATTGTTGGGAATATGAATACAAAGAAATTACAAGCTTTGGTTGGGTAGTAAGGAAGGAGGCAAACAGCTTGGAGTTGAAAGACCATGAAATTGCTCCTTCTGTTGCTATTCCAGCAATTCCTCCTTGGTTGTTCCCTATGCCACTAATTGATTTACAAATTCACAAAATAATAAAAAAACCGGAGATGAACATGCCAACTGAAGTAGTAGTTCAACAATATATAAAACAAGAGTATTATTCTGTGTTACAGGTATTTACAGATGGGTCTAAGGAGCCAGAGTCTGGGAGAACAGCAGCAGCAGTTTATATTCCTACTTTTAAAATAAAAATGGCTAAAAGATTATCAGATCATGTGTCAGTTTTTACTACCGAATTATTAGCTATCATACTAGCTCTACAGTGGATCGAAGAAGTTCAACCAGATAGAACTGTGATATGTACGGACTCAATGGCTGCGCTCACTAGCCTACTAAGTGGTAAATCTGAAGCTCGGCAAGACTTAGTATTTGAAGTTTTACAAAGTTTGTTTAGAATAAGGCAGTTAAGGATAGAGGTAGAATTCCTCTGGGTGCCTGCACATGTGGGTGTGGATGGAAATGAGGAAGTAGACTTGCTAGCAAAGAAAGCATTAAATCATACACAAATAGAAATTAAGTTAGCTTTAAGTAAAGCTGAATTCAAGAGAGTGATATCATTTGAAGTAAGTAAGAAATGGCAAAAGTTATGGAATAATGGGTCTAAAGGAAGACATCTTTTCCAGATTCAGGAGTGTGTTGGAAATGAGAGGAAAAGATACGGAAATAGGAAGAAAGATGTCATCTTATCAAGACTAAGAATTGGACATACAGCATTAAACTATAATCTTTATAAAATAGGCAAGCATGAATCGGGAAAGTGTGACAATTGTGGAGAATTAGAAACAGTGAAACATATTCTTTTTGAGTGTTCTGCATATGAAAGGGAGAGATTTCAATTAATTCAAGAATTAGGATGGCTGGGAGTTGATAATATTTCTTTAAATGTATTGTTAGGAAATGGGTCGAGGCAATCAAGAGTGCAAGAATATATGTTTAAATACCTGAAAAACGCAGGAACAATAGATAGAATATAGGTTTATTTATTATTATTTTGTTAAATTTATTTAAAAAATTTAAAAAAATTCTCTCCTCTTCTGTATTTCTTTCTTCCAAATTTATTCACACTCCACACTCCAGATCAGTAGGTGGCGGTAATGCACATCTTTCGCTGGTTTGCCAAACCGCCATAAAACACCACAAGAAGAAGAAGAAGAAGACCCGTCTCCCCCAGAAGCTGGCAGGCTGTTCACTCCACACTCCAGATCAGTAGGTGGCGGTAATGCACCTTTAAGTTGGTTTGCCAAAACCGCCATAAAACATCAGAAGAAGAAGAAGAAGAAGGCGAAGAAGACCCCGATTCCGCGTCTGTCCTCTGATTGATCAGTAGGTTTACTTGTTTTTGTTTGATAGTTTATTTTTTATTGTGTCGGAATGACTGTCTCAACCGGATTTTAACCGTGGTAGTAGTTACAATATAATTATCACTGTCTGAGCTAACAATTTATTAACCAGTTACAAGGTTCCGGGCAATATTTGCTATTGGCTGTGCCTTGAAACATAATGAGCTGCCTACCTAGACAGCATTTTTTTTAGTCAGTCAAGAAAACGGAAAAACTTACTAGGCCGCTCACTTGATTTTGAGACACAGATCTGATTTGATTTGGCACTTTACATTACAGATTGTCCATTACTGCAGTCTTTAATTAATACAATTAATATGCCAATATTCAACTTTCTCGTATTGATTTTTTTTATATAGAACAAAATGACTGTAGAGGTTGAAAGAAAATTCGTTTGTGATGCAGAAATTATGGAGAGACTACAGGATATTGGAGGTGTGTTCAGATCTTCTCATTATCAAAATGAATAATTTATGCTTTACACACACACACACACACACATTATATTCATTATTATACACATACAGAATCCTGAAGTAACAAGCAACAGTATTAACTACCCTTTAATTTTATGGGGGTTTTTCCCCTGAAATTTTAGGTTAGATTTTTACATTTTCTTATTTCTCTGTACAGCTAAATGCATTGGTCAGCGGCAGTTCCGAGACCAGTATTTTGACTCACCAGATTTCATCCTCACACTAAAAGATTTCTGGCTGAGATGCCGAGAGGGATTGTGGGAGTTGAAATGCCCTGCAGTTTCAGGAGCTGCACCTGACAATGACACTGAGACCCTTTGTACACAATACAGAGAGATAACCAGTTTGCCTCTGATTCAATCAGAAGTCAGCAGGATTATCAGGGAACACACTGCTGAAGGGAGTGAATCGAATTCCTCACCAAGGGAACAAATTGACAAAGTCGCAGAAAATGAGGACACAGAGATCTGTTCAGCAGATGACACAAAGTGGCTGAATGTCCTCAATCTCGTCTGTTTTGCCGAGTTCAAGACCGAGCGCTGCTCTTACATGCTAGAGAGAGAGGCCGGTGCAGTGCGGGTGGATCTGGACCAGGCTGATTTTGGATATTGTGTGGGAGAGATTGAGGTTCTGGTGCCTGAAGGAGGTGACATGAATGCAGCTCTGCAGAGGATTACAGGCATTGCTGCAGAACTGGGTGAGCCGATGTTTGTGGACACTGTCATATATACAGTAGAGTTAATTTGCTGCCACTTCATTTTGCTAAGACCAGTGTTACTTTAGTATAATTGAGATTCTTATAGTTTTTAGTAATAGTAATGATTTAGTTTTTATTTTTGTATGTATTCATGTTTGTATGTTTGTAATTAAGGTTGTGTTTTTGTCATTTTTGTTAAGGTTTTAAGTAGGGCTGTGCAAAAAATCGAATGCGATTTTCATGCGCATCTCGTCAGTAAAGCCGCTTCTGTGATTAGTAGTAAATCTCCAGCACGTGCGTTTAGATGGAGCGGCATTTACTGCACAGAGCCGTAGATCACTGACAAGCTACACAAAAGCGCGTTCAAAATCGCAGGTGATTCATTGCCGATTTTGAACGCGATTTTGTGTAGCTTGTCATGCCGGGTTCAAACTACACAATATTTTTGTCGGTCACGATAGTCACTGTGTCAGATAACAAGATTTTAGGAGTCAAAATCGTGTAGTGTCGTGGACAAGAAACATGTCAGACTACACGTTGCTTCCCGACCATTCATCGCGTGCCGTCTTTAACGACGCTTGTGATGTCATCGAGAAGGCGGAACTAGCGACTGACTTCCGAAAACGAGTGTAAACATTGCTGAAGCGCTTCCGTTATAGTTCGCCAGCATTTTTCTTTCTTTGTTCTGTCGTGGTAGTCCCTCGATGACACATCATACAGGCAGGAGTACTGTTGCCACAGCTCCACGAACATTTCCTCCATCTCATAATTCTTTCGTTTCGCCATGTTTGAAACCTGTGTATGAAAGAGCTTCTGTGCTGCTATTGGTCAACGTCACCAATGTGACAGAACTCGTCGTGGACAACGGAAATTTTTTTTTAACTTTCTGTCGTGAAGCATTGCAGACGCGGAATCGGTTGTCGTCCACTATGACACACTACACGTGCTGAAACGATGGAATCTTGCGTCCCGATGCCCATTGTCGTTACGAATCCCCACGACACCCTACGTCAAGCAAATCGTGGCAAAATCGGGCTAAAATCGTGTAGTCTGAGCCGGGCATCAGTGAACTACGGCTCTGTGTAGTAAATGCCGCTCCATCTGAACGCACGTGCTGGAGATTAACTACTAATCACAGGAGCGCCTTTACTGACGAGATGCACATGAAAATCGCATTCGATTTTTTTTGCACAGCCCTAGTTTTAAGATATGTCTATATACATTTTATTTATTTTTATTCCCATTTTAGTTTTAGTTATTTTAGTGCATCAAGTTAAACTAAATCAAATTTCGATTTTTTTTCTTAGCAAATAGCTAAAAGTAAAAAAAACATTATATATATTTTATTTATTTATTTATTATAGTTTTACTTAACCATAATAACCATGGCTAAGAAGGTTGATATCTGCTGCCTAATAAACCATGTCTAAAACATCTATTAGCATCTATTACTTTTTAATAACCCTTTAGAATTACAGAAAAAATAATGTTGCATGAACCTCTTTTCACATCACTTAATAATATATACAGTTTTTTTTTTGTCGTCTGTCTCCACAGGTTTAAGTTGTGAGAAGAAAATAAAGGGGAAAATGGATGTTTACCTTCAAAGATATCGACCTGAACACTATGCAAAGCTTCTTAGTGCACATATTTTATGAGGAATCTCTAGTGTAACATATAATTTGTAGTTTTTAAATTCTGTTTCATTTATGATTCATCCTTAATGCTCATATTTTAATGAGAAAATAAGCACTGGTAACATATTTTATAGTGTATTGTGATTAACAAATAGGCTATATTGTGTTTAGTTGAGGTAAAGATTAATACAGAAAAAGAAGCGAATTAAAAAATATATAGTACATAGGCAGCTATATATCATGGCAGTTTGGGTCAGTTAATCAGATATCTGGTTGAAAAAAATTAATACCTTAATAAAAAGTCTATGTGATTTTTTTTCTTCTATTTCTGTTTTTGAGTTTGAGTTATTAATGTCCGTTTATCGAACTATTCTTGTTCCATTTGCTCTTTTTCTAACAAAATTACATGTATCATGGACAACAACAAAGCTTTAGGTAACAACTCTTTACATCTCAAATTTATTTGCAATAAATTTGTTGAGTTGCATATAAGTTTCGATGTGTTAGATTGTTTGACCAACAGAATCATGCCTTATATGAAAATATTAAATATTGCAGATACTTTTATTTTGATAGTAATTTTACAAATTTTGTGCTTTGACCTAAATGGACCCTTTTCACATTTCCGGCTTTCTCAGCAGCGGAAGTCGTCATAGTTGGGTTAACTTGAAGAGCAGTGAATGGGAGAGTACCACAAATATATTTTTTGCATTGCCAGTTGCTCAAATAGCAAAAGAAAAACTCCACGATAGTGTTTTCGTGACTTTCAATAAAAGGAAAAAAATTGAGAGAGACTGATAACGGCAGTCAGAAGAGAACAATGTCAAATTTACCAGCCCTCCCATAGACGCTGCATTAGAAACACACCCGCATTAGCGTTAACTGTTTTTTTGTAATTTGATGCAAAGGTTATATAATACAAAGAATAGTGTTATAAATGTACATACATTTAAAAAAAAAATACAAATATGAAAAACTTTCGAGGATTTACGATGCTGATGACCGTTAAACGTCTTGTGAGAAGGGTCCATAGATTGGTGTGTCGTTGTAAAATTCAACGTTTGCTCAGCAGAGGGCGCTGTTATCTTTGTTATGAGCTGTTCGCTCAGCGTACAGCAGTTGGCGCAATGTTCCTGGAAAACCATTGACAAGTTCATTAAAATCTGTTTAACACCAGGTAATCAATACTGAACAGAATTAGAAATGACTAAAATTATCCTAATGATTTATGACACATCAACTATCTATGTATTACACTGATTCATAAATAGCTGAATTATGTCCAATGCTCACACAACACACAACTGCAAATATGTTATGCTATTCTCAATGCTTTTCTCTTATGGACATCATTCCACCGAGAAATATGTGTTTATGATTCATAAATATTTAATTCTGCAAATGCAATACATTTGGTGTCAAATTGATGGCATATTGTGTACACTATTTGCAAAATATATGTATATTTCATGTTTCATGTACACTTAAAAACAGGTTTTAATATATTAAGGATAAAGTGTCAAAAAAAAAACTTGATATTAAAAAATGAAATTTGAAGAGGACTTTATTTTTATTTTGAGGCAATAAATACAATATTTTTATGTGGTGCATGAACAATTTTTATATGCATGCAATTATATATACATAATTGATATAATTATTATATATAATGTACTGTAAATATATAAAAAATAACTAAACAGTACCCAGTCAAGGTAAAACACGACAGGGAAGGTCATGAACGTTACAAGCTCACGTGCAAGGCTGAAATAAAAGAGAGCTGGTATGGTAGAGGGATGCAAGAGCTATTTATTTCAGCCCCGAGACTTCAGCTTAAGTTCGGAGAGAAGGCTTTTATGAGGAAATATTAGGAGAGGTGAAATATGACGCTGTGTACTCGCTTTAAAGTGCAAGTATCTCCAGCTTTCTTCTTCCCAACATAAGGCCTTTTCGATTTCTATTATTTTATATAGATATCCCTGAGAAAATGAGATTTGCTCTAGATAGACCAACTCTCTTCTTTGTTTTGTGGTTTTATAGTAATGAAAGAAAGCCATTGTTCAAGGTTTGACAGGATACAATTAAAGTGCCATTATTTCAGAGGAACCTTCAGATGGGAACCGGGTGACAGAGGGAGAAAGAGGTGTATTTTTCGCATCAAAATCATTGGAGGCCTTGTAATAAATGCTTTAGTTTATCTGCTTACAATCCCACATGCATCCATTCACATTCAAGTTCTCACAGTCTCACAAAACCCCCCTTTCTCTCTGTCCAAACAATCAGTGACCTTCCTGTCATCTAGAACACTTACACAGGTGATCAGATGACGCCACATGGCGCTGTTGCTTTGAAAGTTCTCACATTTGACTCCTCTCTCTGTCCAAACAATCAGTGACCTTCCTGTCATCTAGAACACTTACACAGGTGATCAGATGACGCCACATGGCGCTGTTGCTTTGAAATTTCTCACATTTGACTCCTCTCACAGCAGCTGCTTTACACTATTTTGGTTTGGCTTTGGCAGAGCCTGTGACTACAGTCACACACACACACACACACACACAGAGAGTATAAAATAGCGTAATGAAATCCTCTGAATTAATGATAATATGTGACCCTTGACCACAAAACCAGTCTTAAGTCGCTGGGGTATATTTGCAGCAATAGCCAACAATCTCAATTTCGAAAAATTGACAGTTTTGTGGTCCAGGGTCACATATAAAGTCAGAGTCAGGTATACCCAATAAAAGGAACTCGATTTTTCTTCTAAACACGTGTAAAAAATAATAATGCATTATAAAAATGTATTTATTCCCTCTGTATCAAACAATGACACATTTTAGAAAATTAAAAATGAATTGCATTTATTCAAAGCTTTATATGGAATCTTTGAGACCCAAAACAAAAACAATGCAAAATATACACTATATTTTACGGCGTCCTTGTTACATTTAAGTACTGACTAATATTAATTAACAACATGCACTTACTAATAGGATTAGGATTAATTTACTGTTAGGATTAGGGTTTGGGTTATTGCATGTCATTATACATAATTCATTACAATAGCAAGTACATGTAACGTGTAACACGGACACTATAAAATAAATTGTTACCTAAGCTATATAGAGTACTTTTGAATCAACACGTTCTCACGTGAGGTATCGAACTACTCCAAAATTGAAGGAACTGTATGTAGTTTTGTGTATTTTTGTGACTTTTGAGCCCCCTACAGTTAAGTGAGTGGAATTTACGGTCGTAAATACAGTATTTTCACTGAATATTGTAGCCGCTCACCAAACGTACAATCTCCTAGAACAGACGTGGGAAAGAAACAGAAGCCATTCATGATATTAGAAGTTAGTGTACTTTCAGGATGATTTTGAAACTGATATTGCAAGGTAAAAAAAACAAAACCTTACATTCGTTAAGTATGTTTTTGAACTATTAAGGGTTAGAAGTGTATATGACATTGCGAGATGGCATTTTGTGCAATAGTTTTGTTAGAGTAAATTAGTATGACAGAAATAGTATGATAATATGATACAAGGTCAATCATATGAGGAAATGTTTACATGCAGCTGTTGTGGCTCACCTAAGAAAAATAAATAAATTGATGAATCAAACTGACACACACACGCACACACACACATATGAGCTGTGTATTACTTACAAACTGTAGTCCGTTACTGATTCCAAATCACATAACCAAAATTGTAGTAATGTAATCCATTACATTACACATTTTGGGTAATATAATCTGACTACTTTTTGATTACTTTTAGATTACTTTTGACTTAAAGGGGTCATATGATGCACAATAATGTACAGTATGTGGAAAATAATGTGTTTTTTTAACCTTAAACCACATAAACACATTTCATTACACCAAATACACAAAATAATGTTCTTTTTAGCAACGTCATATGACCCCTTTAACTTGTTTATCACGTCGATTTAAATAGGACAATCATGTACCCTATTGATATAAAAATACAAAGAGTAAGAAAATATATTTTATTTGTTGTAATTAACAACATGAAGTGCATTAAACTTTACATTACATAAAGGTTTTCCAAATGGGGGTTCATAAAGGAACTACAGGGGGTTCATGAATTTAATGAAAAGCTAATAATTAATTAAATAAAAAATGTAAAAGTAAAATAAATAATTTTAAAATAACAAATCAAAATAAAACACTTTAAATATTTTATTTGTTTACCTGCATGTCATGTGACTGTTAACCAACTTCAGAGAACCGTGAACATGCAAATATGATACTTAATTATTCAAATATTTATTTTAAAATCTCAGGGGTACTTCAAGTAAATAAATTAGGTGAAAGATGTTCAGATGACAAAAAAGTTTGGGAATCCCTGAATAACATGTTAATAAGAAATAACGTGAATTTGTGCATTTTAACGTGCTTGGAAGACAAAAGTCTTACAAAGACATTGTAATACATGATTAAATAACCCACCATAATTCAAATAAAAATTAATGTGTTCCTCAGTGATGCAATGTTGAAACACTTCTTAAACCTGAAATGATTTTTGTGAATCCAGTGGTCAAATGCTGTGTGGCCACCTGACTAATGACTGGTCTTTGTGTGAATGTCCAAAAACTAGAAGACAGCAGTAGGCTATTTTAGAAAGGAACATTTAAAAAGATGAAACCGAGGAATTAGGGTGAATCATTTATTGCTGTTGTGTGAAGAATATGTAATGTAATCAATAAAAGTAGCTAGTCTGATTACGAGTACTTTAAAATGTAATTTTAATTAATTACAAGCATACTTAATTTTTGCAATCTGATTACGTAATCTAAATTACATGTAATCAGTTACTACCCAGCTCTGTATGCATATATATATATATATATATATATATATAATTTTCAGGACGTCTGGGATCTGTTTAGGACTTAAATTTTGGTCAGTAGGCTTTAGATACAGTATAGAAGATAATTGTGGGTTTTCTCTCTAAAAAGAAAAGCAACACATCATGTCTGATTTATCATCACACTCCTCTGAGCCTAAAGCCACATCCGAGCTTCTGTAACAGTTCTGTCACTTCTCATTTCACATGTGTATATCTAAAGGAACCAGTGAGCCAAGGACTTTAGATCCCAAGTCTCTTAATCTTATGTATCAACAGTAAACTAAAGGTTAAGCCATAATTCATTTGCCATAAACTGATGATTCATCCATTTTATAAATCTCATTTGTAACCATTTTAAAAACACTGTCAGCAATTCCGTTTTAATTAACAGTGGCTTA